TACTAAGCCAATGAACAATCATTATGTTGGTTTTGGCTTAGCAGGTGAACCTGCGTGTTCTGCCCTTCCTCCTGTTCTTGGGGATGCACTGTCCATGCTCGGAGCTGCAGCCGATTCCCACAGCTGTACCCTGGGTCCATCCCTCACCTACTCACCTCCCTCCAGCAGTCATTCTCTCTCCTGCACCCTCAGCATTTCCTCATCCCTACGAAACTATTCCCATCCTAGAGAGTTCTGGAAAAGCCCCCACATGGGAAAAAGTCTGATTCAGTGCATCTATGTCTCTTCCAAGGGATCACTTGTCACCTCCCCTCTAAAAGAAAATGCCCCTGAAGAGTTGTGTGCACCCGCTATGTCTCCTGAACCCATGTGCGGCTTTTGTCACAGTCCTAGACTCCAACCAAGTACAGAGATCTGCCAGGCAGGACAGACCTGCCCATGGATTCGTGAGGTTTCCTCGCATGGGAAATACCTGCGTCCTTGGCTGCATGCGAGAAAGAATCCACCCCCAAGCCTGGTTTGTGATCCAAGGGGATTTCTTACAAAGGATAGAAGCTGTTTCAGGCATTACAGTAAACTGAACACAAGCCAGAGAGAGAGCTCGGCACAGATGAGAGCAGCTGGGAGAGAGACTGGTCTCAAAGTTTCTGGCTTTCAGCCCCTCCCCTTCCCCGCCTACCCCTACCCCTTCCCCCACCATTGGGAGGTGTGTCGAAGGTACTGGTCTATCCCATTGGCTGAATGATGCTCACCTTGATGGGACCAATCCAGGTGTACCGCCCACCTAGGTAGACCACCCCTTCTTGTCTCTGGTCTCGAATCTCTGAGCATGCCCCATTGCACACCTGGTCCCTGTTGTAACTACCTAACAGATTTCTTAGACTATTATTGGAATCAGCTGGACTGCAGTGGGATTCCTTATGGGAGCAGATCGCCAGGTCTGTTCTCCTACAAAGCCTCTGCCAGCTGTATGGTTAGTATCTGAGAGCTTTCCCTGCCATAACACCTTGACTAACCACCCACCCCACAAAGGCAAGGTCACCGATGATCTCATGCGGCCATAGCCAGAGGTCAAGCCTCAGCCCTCACCCTGGGGTCGATGCAGTTGGTTGTGCGTCCTTGAAAGAGGGCCTTTATTCAGATCCCTTAATTGAACAAGCCTTTCCTGAACATTCGGCTGAAATATCCAGTCCCATGGCCCCTTTCACCCCTCTGCTCTCTAGTATTGATTACTATTTGACGTATTTTATATTTATTTGTTTGACTGGTTCTTACTTATTTAACCCACATTGGAACAACACCCCCATACCCCCACCCCAACCAGCCCACCCGGACTCCTAGCGACCCCAGAGGACAGGGTGGAACAGCCCCTGTGGGTTTCCGAAACCAACTTTTTATGGGAGTAGAAAGCCTCATCTTTTTTCACCATTTGAACAAAGCAACTGTTAAAAGAAATCTTAGGGACAATTAGGTAAATGTGCATGTCGTGGTGGAGTATAATTCCTTATACGGCTCTTTTACCTCTGTCTTTCTAACTCCCGCCAAATGACTGGGTGGGACTACAAAAATAGGTGTATAACACTAATACTAGGGACAGATCAGTTTTAGTTACCACCCCCCTGGACAAAAGTTGGCTCCCTAGACAAAGCAGGAGCAGAGAATTCCCAGGACCACCGGAAGTGGAGCGCATCTGACATCTGTGTGAAGGTACCAGAGGCCAAGGCCAAGAGAGCGTTAGAGCAGGGCCCAGAATGAGGCTGGGAGGCTGAGCCGCAGACTGGCCTCCTGACCAGATGAGGCTGAGGCCAGGGACCACGTGGCTGAGAGGCTGAGGAAGAGAGACCTGGCTGCTTGCTAAGGAGAAGTGTGACCTTGGATCAGTGCCCGGAACCGTAATGTTCTCTGCTCTGGCTTGCGGTGACCTGTCAATGCCCCGCAGAAAGCCCCATAATTGTGAGCATTGTCTGAGGGCTGTGTGATCACAGAATTAGGCACCATCAAACACAGCGTAGTAGCAGAGTGCCCGGGAGAAAGCACTGCTGTCAGAATAGGTAATGGAGGGTGGAGGATGTCTGACCTCTGCCTTGTGACAGTAGGGAAGTCAAAGAAGGTCACACCTGAGCCCTCAGCCTGCTCTTGCAAGTACGGACTGGATGTGCGGTTGCATCAAAATTGATTTTCATCCTGTGCTTGTGTGGCGAGGACATCTCGTCAGTTAGCGTGCATAGCGCAGGTTTGATGGGTGAGCTGACACGAAGTCTGAAATGTGTCTAACTTATGAATGAGTCCCAGGTATTTGGCTTGAGAAGCTGGGAGGATGGAGTTATAAAGACTGTGGGAGGAGCTGGGATGCAGATGAATGGAAGGGGGAGGTCAGCAGAAGCTTGTGAGCATGGTAAACGTGAGCTATGTACAAACGAGCAAGCTTTTGGCGAAGCCAGGCTGAAGTGCAAGGAAGGGGATGCGGCATCTCTCCCACTGAGAGTCGGGAGACTGAATGAGAGGCTTGCTCATGCTGACTTTGGACACATCATCGGTAAAGACCTGTATGATCAGGAAAGATCATACTTGACCAACAATGGGCTCAAACAGGTAAACAAAAAGCAACCCATGGGTGTATGGCACGGCCGGAACACGCCATTCTCATATATCAGGTCACCTTAAGTTGGTGCCAAAGAACCCTGGTGGCATTGCTGGCTAAGCATCGGACGGGCAAACATGAGGTTGGTGCCTCAACCCCATATACTGCTCCTCAGGGGAAAGGTGGGGCTAGCTGCTCCCGTAAAGACTTGGGACCCCCCACAGGGCCACTGAGAGCAAGAATAGACCCAATGGCAGTGGGTTTAGGGTGGTTGGGGGTTAAATTGGAGCCCAATCCATAGCAGGTAAGAGCCACCAGCTATTTTAATGTTTTTTTTTAAATCCTTTTTGTTTTTAAACTGTTCTTCCTTGGTCTTGAGAAATTAAAATCTTGATCTGTGATGTTAAAGGGGGGAAAACACAGAAGCTCCTTCCAATCAAAGATGTGTTAGTCTGGATTGACTAGAGAAACAAATCCAGGGAGACGCTCCTGTGTGTGTTACAGAGAACTTTGTATACAATAGCAATTGTATATTGAGAAACATCCCAGCCAAGTCCAGATCAAGTCTATAAGTCCAATATTAACCCATATGTCTAATACTATTTTCCATTAATTACTCTTCAGTCTCACAGAGCCATGCAATAATGTCAAATGCAGGAAGATCACAGGCAGTGGGTGGAAAGTCTTGTGGATCCAGTGGCAGTGGAAGCATCTCAGCACTGGCCTGGGTCTCCATGTGTCTCCCTCAGCTCCAGGGCTCTGGCACCATCATTGTGTCTGTGTGGCTTGTCAACAAGAATGTCTCACAGGGAGGTGTCTGTCCTCCCGAGGTTATTTTTATCTGTGTGGTACCTCCAAATGCAGCCATCAAGCTGTGACCAGATTGACAGGCTAGACTCTACCCCTTCGCAAGTTGACACCAGATTCTGTAACTCCCACAAAGGGGAATCACCTTCTGTCCCCTCTTCCTACCCCCAGCTAACACAGGGACTTGACAGGGCAGGGCAGGGCCTGCAGATGCATACTCCGGACTGGGAAGAAATAAGTGGTTGGGGACGTGTTTGCTGGGCTCACAGCCTTAAATCCTCGTCCCCTTGTCCCCAAGCAGAATGCAATGAGCTCATTTCCATCTAGGAAGGGAACGGAGGACAGCAGCACCATCTTTGAGTTATTTGCATATAGAACTCCACGTTGTGACTAATTTTGAACACCACCCTGGCATTCTTCTGTCAAATGGTTTGATTGTGGATCATATTTCTTCACTGACAGCTGGTATATTCTAAATCAATTAATCAACATGCATTTATCAGACACCTGCTGTGTGATCAGCGTCATTCTTAGAGAATTCAGACTGATTAAATTCTCTGTCAAACGATTAGGAGGCGCTATCTTATTTAGACTCTTCCCCACCCCCATCTCACAGAAAGGCATTCCAAAATCAAATAGCTGCCTTTTTTGTGTGTGTGTGTGTGTGTGTGTATCGATTTGCTGTTTTGAATTATCTACACTCTCCTCCATTCTGTTGAGAGTTGATAACACCAGGGACAATTAGGAATTTTCTTCTTTTTTTTTTTTTCAATTAGGAATTTTCTAAGGTAGTGAAAGCAGTTTTGCATAAATGTATGCATTTCTCCATAATTATGTTCGCTTACGACTCCTTTTAAAGAAGGCTAGTAGGGTTCTTGTTAGTTTTGACTGATGTCTGTATAAATCACAGGAGCCAGCTAAGCGGCTGAAAGGGGGACGTCGATTGGAAGAGTCCCCGGCTCCCTTTTCAAGCCACCACTTAGGTCTCAGGAAGGAAGCTCTTGGGACCCGACAGCAGCTGCTCACAAACCTCCCCTTTGGAATTCTGCCACGAACACTACTCCACGCCACACTTCTCCAGGTCTTTGTGTATCTGAGTTCAAAATTCAAATTCCGGGGGGCGGGGTTGGGGTGGGGGGGTTGGGCAGAGACGGAGACGGACTGGCTCAGCTGTGGGCAGAAGGCTGCCAGTTGCCGTGTCTACACAGAACATGAAGATCTCACGTTTAACTGTAGCTAGTATGCCTGAGGAACTACAAGATCCATGTCTTAATTTACATGGAAAATACAGGAAATATAAAGTATACCATCCCATGATTGGGGGCTGTGGGAAGCCATTGGATTGCTAACTGCCAGCTCCGTGATGCACCAGCAGCTGCTTCGGGGGAGAAAGGCGAGCCTGTGGGCACCTGTCAAGAAGGGCCTGCGTGGGCGCCCTGCTGTGTCGCTGTGGACAGGAGCAGGCTCCCTGGCAGTGCTTTGAGAGGCATCGTGGTGGTAGCTGAGATGGTGAGGTTTTGTGTCAACTCGGCGGTGTAGTACCCACTGGGCCGCCCGAGCACGACGTAACCACAGTCGGTCTGTCCGCGCGCGACGCCTCTGTCACGGGCATGCCACAGCTCTACCCGGCCTTACGTGTCCGAGGATGTTTGGGGGGAGCTTGCTTGCTTGTCGCATGCATACTCACGCACTTGTGTCATATTGCCTGCCAGTCCTGTGAGTCATGGCGACCTGCCATATGATCTGGCAAGCAGGTGCATCTGCCTCTGAGCCGCCCGCTGTGGCCTCTTGCCATCGGCCCTCACAGCTCTGCCAGTGGGCAGCCGCCAGCTCCACGTCTGATCCACACGCCGCGACCTCCGTGACCTTGGCCTAGCTTCTACAGCTGTGTGATCCGTTGTCTTTGGAGGAATTCATATAAACGTGTCTGTCACTGCTTTGGCTGCTTGGGGGAACCCAGCCTAAGCCCTGAATTGCTTAAACTTACTGTTGGAATTGAGACAGGCTGCAAGTGTAAACTACTTTTTGAACTTTGAAGTTTTCGTGTAGAAAAACAAAATGAAGAATGGAAATATCTCATGGATCATTTATATCAAGTATGTTGAAATGATAGTATTTTGGCTATGTTAGATTAAATACAACTAAAATTAGCTTCACCTGCTCAATTTACTTTCTAAACTAGGCCTGTGAGAAAAGTTAAAGGTAAAGGAGCCATGGTGGTGTCATGGTTACAAGTTGGGCTGAGACCCACAAGGTCAGCCCAGTTCCAAACCACCAGCCAATCCGAGGGCCCTTCTACCCTGCCCTATGGGGTCACTCTGAGTCACCATGGGTTCAATGGCAGTGAGTTCGACAGGTGCCTCA